ACACCGATTCCGTGGAGGAGTTCCTTAATACCTATCTTATACTGCCAGGACAAGAGGAAGAAGCCGATGATTTTGAAGAATCTAACCTTTTATAATGACTTTGTTACGTAACCATGACCTTTAATGATTTTTATCCATCGAGAATTTAAAGAAGAAAATTTGTTATAATATTTCGTACTTAGATACCCTCGGTTTTATATATTATATAGTAATTCTATTTAGTGCATTTGTTAAAAATTTGCAAAGAAATTCTTTTTTTTTTTTCTTTTCTTTTCTTTTTTTTTCCCTTTTGTAGACTCCTTTTATAGATCAAGAATTGCCAGAACTTCCAGTATGTTAAGGTTAAGAAGTGTCTGAGAAATAGTTGTTGCTGTGTGGGGCATCCGGAGTGTAGTGTCTCCTAGGACATGGATTAAGCGTGATGAAGGGGGAACCATAAACCGTAATTGGAGGGTTCTCGCGGATGGAGCTGTCTCTGTTCTGTGAGACTGCACTACAGCTGCCTTGTGCAGTAACAATAAAGTCCTTTTTGATATAAATTTGGATTTTTATTTTAACCTAATTTTCTTAAAACTTTAATCTTGAACTCTTGCTTACGGTAAATTACTCCTTGCTGTAATTATACACTGATATATATAGATATTGGGTGATCATTATGGTAATTTTTTCCAAGTGCACACAGCAAGGAGAGATAATGTTATGATACTGTTAATACTTTTCAAAGGATTGCTTCTGCTTGTGAATGACTTATAACTTTTTCCCTATCTGGCCTTAAGCCAAGCCCCTCTTTCATATGAAGAAGCTGACAGGTACACACATTGTTTGTGGCACTATACACACTGTGTGTGTTTACTATTTCTAATCACATATGTATTTTATACTGTTAAAAATTGGATAAGTAAAGACCTGAAATTTGTTAGAGCATGAGCATTGTCAAGAGAATATTAATCATTACTATCAGGGATATCATATTTGCACGTCATGCCCACTATGAGCTTAGTTTGTCTTTATACAATAAGAGTTTAGACACAAAAGGGTCAATTACCTGTCCTATCTATCCCACCTGTTCAGCCTTTTTCCTTTATATTTTGGGGAAGAAATATGTTATTAGTACAATTAATAACGTTATAATCATAATGTCAAGAGTAATAACAGCAGCAGCAATATTAAGAGTAAAAAAAATATATATATATATCATTGGGAAACCGTTTCAGGTAAGGTCTCTTTGGCCTGCTAATTGACTCAATGGCTGAGCACTTATAGCGGATATTATATTCCTCAACAGCAGTTTAACAAAAATATATAACAGTATATATCATATAATCTACATGCAGAAGGATGATGATCAAGTTAAAGAAAAATTACAGTTAGTGTTTGGTTACTCAGGACAGTATTCCAAGGAAATTTCTGATAAAATATCTGATACATGAAAACATTTCATTTTTGTAATTAATATATGATACCTAGTTGTTGGTTTGAGATACTTAACATCTGTTGTCTTCAAGTGGCTGCTCTTCAGTGTATATTACCTACCTTCTGCATATATATTATTAGACCTCCCTTCATGTCCAAGGGCAATCTTTCTAGTCAACTCTTCTCTCCAATAAACTGCATACTCTAAACCTATCAATTTCTTTCTGGTCAGCTCCATTTCATCAGAACAGATACTGGAAGACGGTTCTTGGCCACTTGCTTATATGCCACACCTGCCTTCCACACTCCTATTTCATCACTCCTTCAACCCCCCTAATCCCATGCCCATTGTTGTTGTGTAGGAGCTCAGGAGGCAAAGATGGGCCCAGTGTAGGGGATCACCCCAAACTTGGACCTCAAGCCTTGCCTCTATTAATTTTCCCCAATCCCATGCCCATTGTTGTTGTGTAGGAGCTCAGGAGGCAAAGATGGGCCCAGTGTAGGAGCTCAGGAGGCAAAGATGGGCCTAGTGTAGGGGATCACCCCAAACTTGGTATTCCATGGTATTTTCTTCTCAACCTTTCGTTTTCCCTTTTCTTCATACCCTTCTGTTCACATCCTAAAGTGTTAGAGCCATGCAGAAAGGATGAAGGGCTGGCTTTGTGTCAGTCGTGAATGGCCTTCATAATCCGTTTGCAATTCCCTTTTTAGCTTTTTCACAACCATACTAATCTACAGCACTCTACAACCTTTGGCATTTAACATATTTTGTACTAATTGTTAACTCATTTTTATCTTTTTTGCCACAATACTTTGTCATAAAGCAATATGACCTTTCCTTACCTGGGGCCTTTGCTCTATTACTATATTTTGTTTACACCACTAATGACCTTAGATGTTGACACGGCATAAAGTTTTCAATAAATAGATAAAACTTCTCACGTCAGGTTCTAATCTGCCCCTATGTCCCCCTATGTAATGTTCCTCTTTCAGAACCACACACTCTGTTGTCCTGTCCACGCTTTACTGCAGCCCGTACCTCTGCATTCCCTTACCTATCCTCCCAACTTGTCCTTCTTCCACAGACACATACATACCCTTCACTTGATCTAACACCCCCTTGCTTATTCCTATTTTTTCCCATTCACCCTTCTTCTCCACCTTTAGCCATACTTACCTTTTTTATTACCGTCCTACTGCTATACAATGGATGACATAGAGCACCTAATCATTAACTCAACCCCTTCTATACCCTTTATGATACTATGCCCTTCTGTCCTTGAGGTTTTAATATTGAATTTTAAGGGTCAAAATTACTCTTTCGTTTTTTGTCTATTGTGCAATAATGATGAGAACTTTATACAAGATTCATTACATGTCTACATCTTTCATAAATCAATGTTTTCCAGCTATCATGCTTTCTGTTCAACAGTATGACTTATGCTCCATGAATCATGTTAACACACACAAAAAGGAAAGAATAAAACCAGACCAAACAGACTTTTTCATACTTAAACTGGAAAGTGAATGAGGTTTGATAGTGAAAAACTGTTTCAACCCATTGTATAATTTACTCTTAAAATTATTTACACTATTTACACTTGAAATCAACAGTGCAAAACTTGCTAGAATTCCATGAAATTGGAAAAGCAAGATCTAGTTGAACATTAAAAATCGTACTAATCTGTAATAAAGTCTCATAAGCGAGTATATATGTGCTAACTGCAACAAGCAACTCTTTCTGTAAGGCTAGTACCGGACTGCTGGACAGTTGATGGTGAAGAATCTCCCCCTGTTTGTTAAGCTGCTGACATTCCTCTGTAAGCCACACACATTCCTCATATTGTATTGAGCTTTTGTGGTCCTTCAGAACCTTCAATAACAATTCAGATGTGATAATACTTACATGTTTTGGCTCTTTATATAAATTCATGGTATGTGACTGAAAGAGATACGACTTGGGCTTAAGAGTACTCTCTCCGTCTCTGCTAGATATAGCAGGGCTTTGCTGTTGGTTGCTAGATATTCTCCATAATATTCTCAGAAAGGCCCAGTCTTTCCTACTGGCACTCCAAGAGGCTAAGAGTCCAAAATATTCCCTTAGAGAGAGATTTGGATGAAGTAAATTAATGGTTTCTGATGACAAATCATTAATTTCTGTGGAAACTCTTTCCAGATTCTGACTCCTGCTTTTCCTAAGAGACTCCACTATGTGACAAGCAGAATCTCTGATGGTGGAATCTTCATCTTGCAAGAGCTCAACACAGGCATAGACTAGTTGTTCACAGTAGAGAGGTTGTAATTTAGGCCCACTAAATAACAATGTTCTCAGGGCAACCCTTAAAGCATCACTTGCCGCCAACCTGTAATCTTCGGTAGAGGTTGGCGCGGCATATTTACTGACTAATGATGAGAAAGCACTTAGTATCTCTGTTCTGATCTCAGTGTTTGGCCACTGACTGCAGCTTATGCATTTGAAAAGATATGACACAACCCTGAGTGTTTGAGCTGCTACTTTAACCCCATGGTATCCCTTGAGCAAGTGCAAAACGGTCTTTAAGCTATCTTTAGATGGGGTGTGGGTTACATATCCTTGTTCTTTGATAATTGAATATAGAGTGTTTAGAACTGGACTCCACCGTACTGTGGTATGGTGTTCCAGTTTTTCCCATAAGAGCTTTTCAATATCTTTCAACCATGGGCTATTCTTATATTGTCCTATGTGTTCCTGCATATAATCGAAACAGATTTCTTCCATATCATGATCTGAAATCCAAGATATTAAACATTCTCTCATTTCATTACTCGTTACTTCTTTCATTTTCATTTTGCTGAGGAGCTGACAGTACTCTGCTGCTCCTGGGTGAGCAGTATGAATTGCCACAGATTTCCCAAAATTAACATCTGTTTTCAGCAACTGGCAAATTCTCACTGCAAGGACAGTGTTAACATAACATCTGTGTTCTGAGTTAATCAAGCTTAATAATGTTAAAGTTATCTTTTCTCTTACTGTAGAATTATTTTGGATGTCTGGGTAACTCGTCAGGATATTCGTTAATGTCAGCAGACTTCCATGAGTTTGATTATTACTTATTTTACCTTGTCTCTCCAGAAGTTCAACATGGCTGTGAACTAGTTGTAACACATCCTCTGACGGAGTAAGGGCAACAACAGCCAGAGAGGCTAATCTGCGCACAGTGTGTATGGGTGATTCTAAAAGCCGTGTTGTCTCAGTTCGGTAACACTGGAGTATGTCATTTACCTCAGCATTCTGTTGTAATCCTGTGCCTGGTGACAATCTTGCTAACAAGCTGAGCACAGGTACTAAGCTAGAGGACACCTTAATAGACATACTGTCCCCAGGCTCACTGGAAATCTTACAACTGCTTCTTTTTTCCATAATCTCAGATTCTGAAGAGCTCTCCTTATTTTGGAGTGTCTCTTCTTCCAAAGCTCCTGGTTCCATGAGCATCTTCAACAGGGACTGAGCCAGAGATGGGTGCCTGGCTAGGAACTCTGGTGCTGTTAGACTGTTCAGAACAGATGAATCATCTCGTACCTTCTTCTGTCCAACCATTCTTGGCACTACAGCCCCATACAGTTGCAGAGCAGCATTCCTGTAAAAGAAGAAAAACAGGAAAGAAGACACTATAATGTGTGATGAATCTGTCAGATATATTTTTATATGAAAACAACTATCTTTTCACTATTCTTTTTTTATCATTTTAGATAAAAGAAAATATTGTTATGCTGGGATTTTGATATCCCTGGCCTCTGAACCTATGGTCCTACTACTAAGCTGGCAATTTTTTTCCCTATTACTATACATACCTCAGGGCATTTTTCTGGGAATTGGCAGCCAAAAGACAAGGCAAGATTTCCTACACCAGAAGACATGTTTCTTGTGCTAATATCAATATTTACCAAACATACTGAAAACATACTAAGAGATGCTACTATGAGGTGGGCAGGAATGGGCAATGAAAGGTCAAGAAGACATGATTTCCTATATCATAACATGCAAGAATCATGTTAATAATATCAAACATATTCCAAGCTGTGAAAAGATAAGGTTTATGCACTGGGGTGGGCAGGAGTGGGTAGGTAGGTTTTGATGGGTAGTTGAAAGTCAGGTTAGGACAAGACAAAGTACAATGTGAAATGGAGCTTCCTATATCTTGTAATGAAAATGGGAGGATATAAAAGAGGGAGATAAAATGCTCTGAGTATCACTTGATCCCACACTTTTATTAAGATGGTCCTAATGGCCTTCCATGGGAATGATACCAGGCTTTCAGGATTCAAACAAAAATAATGCACCTTCTGATGATGAAGAACAAAAAAGAAAAAAGTGTTTGTTCCTATCTCTGCATCTAATTTTCTGATTATCATAATATCTTAGACACAAGAGAAGACACAAAGACCCTTACCTTAGTGCCCATGAGTGGTTGGTGAAGGCCTGCAGACAGGTACTGGTAATAGCAGGGAGGTGGAGAAGCAGATGGTGTGCTAAGGGAGCATGCAACACCAGAGACTGTAGCATGTGAAGTGCCAGAACCGGAGATGCATCTACTGTGTTCTGTTCTTCATACTGTACAAATTGTAGAAGTGAAAAAAAATCTGTATAATGACATACTTCTGAAAATTATGGAATAATTGGGCATCTTTAGAGCTACTCCCATATTTGTGCCATATAGCTCAACACAAACATAGCCTCTGCCTTTGCAAAACAGAACTCTGTACATGAAAACTGAGATCCATGAAAATTGGATGCATTTTCTGGAGGAAATATGGAGTGGCATGCAATGTGCAGACATTTTTTGATTCCTTCTCAAATAATATCTGATTAAAAAGTGATGAACCCAAAACTTTAAAATAACAGTTTACCTTGTCATAATATAGTGCAAAATATTACTCTTTACATGTACAGCATTAACAACACCCTGATTTATTCTGGCTTACTCAGATTTTAATCACCTTGGCAGTAGGGTAAGTGTAAAGTAAACCCATGTTCACAAAAGAGGCAGAACCCACATATGCGCTCCCTTCTGAGAGTACATCCCTCATTTCATGTTACCAGACAGTAATTCCTCAGATGCAGGTTTTACTCACAATAAGATACACTTATTTTGTGTTCAGATGCCAGTCAGACAAGAGTATTTTAATGTTTTGCCCACCACCCACCATGTTTATCTCACAATCTGTTAAACATAGTGGGTAATGGCACTGGCCTTTGTGTGGACATAGCTTTACTGCTGCTATGTTATCAAAGGGCATGTCTGTCAAAGGTCTTAAAGAAATATGATGGCAATGAAAAGTGAATAACATTGTTTTCCACCTCCTCTACTTGATCCTACACTTTTCTCTCTCTACATGTGCCACAGGCAACTGACATACCGGTGGCACTGCATTATCATATATAGTCAGTAATGGTAATGATCACAAGCATTTAAAATTATGAAATTATTCTCCTATATAAATATCTTTATTATTTTTCTAGAATGCACAGATGATTTCTGTTAACTTACTTCAGACTGGCTAATACGAATTAGCCTCAAAACAGTTGTATTAATGAGATCAACATTAGTGCGAGGTGCTGCCCCACAGGCGACCTGCATCATCATTGCAATTCCTGCCGCACGACGAGTCACTGAAGTTTGAGCTCCTGATTCTATGTGATCAAGGACTTCATTCACCTGTGGATAGAAATAAAGTGGTCTTGGTTTAAAGACATTTCTGTGACAAATATAGCAGCTGCAACATAAGTTTATCTGAACTTACAACATAAAACATACAGTATTTCTAACTAATAAACATAATATACTTCAGAAAAAAAGAAAACTTGCAAAATCCTGCATTCTCTTGTTTTGCAATCCATATATGTGTGAAATCAACCATGTCTGGAGAATAACAGTAATGGAATCTATTAAAACACACCTGTTTGTATATGAGATGGCCAAGGTTGCTGTTGCTGCTGAGGAGAACAGAACAAAGCTGACCATAAGATGCTCTGGCAGCCTCCATTGCCCCCTTGTGTCTGGTGCCTGTGAGGACCCTGACAACAACACCATGAAGCAATTTCTCCACAAGACTTTCACTGAGATGTCTTATCCAGTGTGTGACACTCATACTTGTTACAGCACAACAAGCCTGTAATGTGAGTGTAACAGTCTATTTATATCTATCCTTAAAAATGCATATCAAATAAGTATTTGCACAGCAGCCCACTTGAGTATTTCAACATCATCTAGTATTTGAGTAACTGAAAATATGTTTTCCAATGACTTTTACCTTACTGATAATAAAATCTTATCTGATTCAATCAAATATTTCCCTTAAATTGCACATCTGAGCTATCTTTTAGAGAAAACTGACCTTCATGGTTTGCCAACAGCATGCCAGAATCAACTGATGGTTCCCAGAGATAGCATTATCTTCTATATCCACCTCTTCTTCCTCTTCTACTGTTATATCCACATTTTCTTGGTGCTGGAGGTGCTCTTCTCCGTATGGGTTCCCTTCTACACCTTTGCTCTCACATTCCTTTATGATAATTTCTATTGATTCTCCCATCTCGGCAAAGGATGGTGCAAAAGCTGCAATAAGGAGATATCATTTTCTACATGTGACCTCTTCTGAATGAATGGAGAATGACCATTAATATCATATTTCCTTAGATGACAAAATTGTTACACAAGATTCCTCTGGCTTTCAATATGAGAAACTAAATCTAAGACCCTTTGCCTTAGATCTGAAGAATCTATAATGTCACCTTTTCTCAGAGAAGCGTATGGGATGTTGAATAGTCAAGTCTGAGAGTGGCTAAGCTCAGTTAGCTATTGGTTACATGACAAATTACTCTAAATGATTGCATAATTCCATGATTTAGATTAATTGTGCAGAAATATGACCTGGGATTTTTGTCAGGCACATATGAGCCAAAAAAGACAAAGCAGTATTTTGGGGATACAGAAAATATATGTGGTCCATAAATGGTTAATACACATAAAATTCATCACATAATACACATAGATCCACAGTAAAGTTAGAATAGAATGCAATAGATTATGCATATAATAAAAATCCATTCACAAGTGTTACATACCAAAAGGCAACATACCTGATCCATTAGGAGATGCACATGCCAGTTTGGAGAGCATGTATTCAATTATATCAATTAACAAGTCTGTTAGGTTTGTCATGAATTCCAGCACCTCGCCCTTTGACATTGTTGTAGTTAATACATCTCTGCATAAGCAATAACCTAAAGCCTGTCAAAGAAATATATTTTAGAACATGATCAGCATACTAAAAAATAATGAATTGCTTTGCATACAGCAGAGAAGAAACATAAATGAACTTAATTGTCTGTGTCAGAGAAATGCAGATGCTTTGTTAAGTCTGATTCTGATGGAGATAACTTAAAAAATTACTTATCAATTAAAGGGGACATCTGATGCTCTTACCATTAAAGATCCATGGATTGGACTCCTTTGTGAAGCTTGTAGAAGGTTGTCCTGAGCAGCTTCAAACTGTTCTTTTACCCGACAAAAAAGGAAAGTCAACAAGCTTTGAAAATCCTTAGCCTTCAGGTATAAGGGGGAAAATTCAGATTTTTTTCAAATGACTTTCAACCTTACTAACAATGAAGACAGATATAATACACATAAAACTGGTATGAATTAATAATCAACAACCTTCCTAAAGGACAAGTGGGATATCAACACAATATGAACAATTTTAGCATACTTTCCACAAAACATAAAGATTAAGGAATGTACTCAATTCACCATAGAACACTTAACTTCAGCATAGTGGTGATATCATGACCCCTTGCGTGACAAGCTGACGTGACAACCTTTACAAGAGTAGCTCCACTTTCGGCAGTACTTGCTTTTGGAGAATCGCACATAGACAATCCTCTCAACAGCCACAAATGAGCATCCGAATAACACAATGAATTTTCTGAATACTCCAAAATTTTGAGTGTCCATTCAGCTTCTTCTCGTATGTCGTTCATTTCATCCATACATAATGTAAGTAATATTTCTTGTGTCCAGGGTAACGTCAAGTCCACAATCTTATGAATTGCTTCAAATGTTCCAATAGCATTAATGAACCCACAAGCAGTTGCATACCTTGCACTTATGGAATATTTACCCGACTTTGTACTCTCATAAAATGCTAAAAGGGTTTCTCTATATAACTGTAGAGAAAGTATTCTTCTTTGGTAATTTCCTTCAGGTGTAAGGTTGTCATGGAGAAAATGTACAAGCCATATCAAAAGTTCACAGTTCACCTTCAGCACTGGCAATTTCTCAAGCAGTGCAGATCTTGAAGAAGCATCTGAATCACTAGCTTTATAACCCGACTTCTTTAGCTCAGCATGGCAAGTGTCTCGAAGTCTTACTACAAGAGCTTTGTAGCATTTGATGATACTCTGTCTGAATGGAGCCGAGTCAATATTCATATTCCATTGAAAGAACTCTCTCAACAGTTCACTTTCTCTAGAGGAAATTGGCTGAGATCCCTTCTGAGTACAGCACAGGAAAGCAAGTGCTTCCCCCCTTACCACCTCATCTATACAACATAGAGCAGATTCGACGCAGCCCATAACAGACTCTGTTTTCATTCCATTACCTCCTCCACTTGCCTCTTGCCTTTCATTTCTCTCTAATTCTACATCAGAATTATCTTCCAAATCCAAAACACCAAGACTGCGAGCCACTCTCAAGATAGCCATGCGTGCAAGCCAGCCTGAAGAGCAGTCCCGACACAAGGCTATCAGCTCTTGATATACACTGCCATACTGACGGAGAGTGGGTGGAAGCCACAGAGTGAGAATGTGTTGTTGAATCATTCTGTAAGTATAAGATTTAAATGAGATAATACAGCAGGTGATTATCTTATATACAGGTAGAGCTAGTTGATGAAATTTGCAGCCACTCTAATAATATCAGGGTAGAATTCAACCTAGTAACACTGCAGTACAACTGTGTTTAAAAATGACTAATTTTTAAACAAAATTTAATTAATTTCTTGGCAAATTTCTCATTCATATTTTGAACCAAACAATTATGAGCTAATCAACCCATAGGTGATAGGTGATGGTTTAGTTTTATTAATTTTGTTTACACATAGATGGCTTCAAAAATACTTAATCACCAAGTAGTCAGTTACTAATCTTACCAATTTCACCAGTTTACCCCATTCCTTCACATTTTGAGGAGAAAAAAAAAAAAAAAAAAAAAAAAAAAAAAAAAAAAAAATCTACCACATATACACTATTGTTACATTGTAACAATGTAATACTAATAAAAATAACAGCATATCTTTCAAAATATTCTATGAATGATGTAATCAAATGAGGTCAAGTAAACCAAGTAATTGAGTCCATTTTGGTGACTAAGCCTTTGTGGAGCTGCTGGGAGTGCATGTGTACACGCATTCCTCGTACCAAAGGGTTAAATGTATCTCATGAGTAACAGGCTGAAATACTAAGAAAAAGAAGGCATGTGTATGTATATTTTTATCTTGCTTGGCATTTTTATATAAATATTGATGTGAAGTAAAACAATTGAAGTTTGATTTACATCATTTTTAAAGATACTTCATGATACTCAATAATAAAAACATTAAATTCTGATATGACAAACACTCACTTTACATTTTTTTTTAAATTAAAAAAAAATCAAATGGGACCTATAAACACCTCCCTATGGTTATAATGCCCATACAATATTGTGTCTAAAACTTAACTAAACGGGTAAATATTCACACATACTGTTTTCCTTTTGTTCATTCAATAGTTGGGTTTATATTTCTATTCTTGAATGCACTAAATAGTTACGAGATAACATCCTATCCCATTTCTTTTTAGCCAACAGCACTAAGACATAAATCTATTCATTCATTGTCATCAGAGAACATTTCATTTCTGAACAAGGAAAATATGCATGAAATATCAAACCAAGTCTTGGACGCAGATTACCTTTCTTGGCTGTGTAAACCATCACAAATGATATGGAGGAAATGCTGATGCCAAGCATTGACAGATAACTGACTAAGCACTATTTTGTACACATTAGTGCCAGCTGAGGCCAGATGGTTCACCTTAAGAGACTCTGTCAAACCATTTGCTAATACCGGATGCTGCTGTAGAGCCTGAAGGGAAAAAAATCCTTTATTATCTATAAAGTATGAAAATCATGGATCATTGTTGTAACATTAATTAGCAGTATATGGCTAAGGACCTGACTCATCCATTCACATAATAACTGATGGGCTTATAAGCTAGAACATCTCATAGAAAAAAATCAAGAATCATACCAAATTACCATATATTGAAACCTTAAGAAATATGATCACTTTATAAACATCAGTCAGTTTCATTTAGGAGAAAGTTACTTTCACTCATACCGAGGACCCCTGTCACAATCAAACCTACCTCATTTGCCCCTACAAAAGAAATGGCCAGGCCTAGAGGTGGGTAAGTGCTCTTCGATGTCCATGCAGCAGAAGTGACGAGAGCATCTAGCATGTTGCTGGCTAGTACTTTGGCTTGACCTGGCTGTCTGTCATCATGCAGCTCTAATAACTCTGACATACATGTGTATACAACATCGCTCACACCTGCAAAAATATCAATGATAATATACGAAGTTGAATAAGTTTTTGTCACTATGATACGGATGACAATTGAAGAATTAACAATGGATGAACAAAAGGACATCTGATAAAGTGTTTAACAGTTATTTTATCCATAATTTTCAAATGGGCAATTCTGTATACATATAGTTACTTAAAACCAGCCTTGCCTATATTCTGACAACAGTAACCTATATCTCCCCCCCCCCCCAAGAGACAGTCCCTTTAGATCCAGAAGATAATGAAGATAATAAAAAATACATACAGAAAATGTTTAAGCATTCAAACACTGATCATAATCAAAATAAACCAAAATATTTAGCTTATTAACCATCACTTTCACTCACCTTTAGCTGGATTTTCCCAATTAGAATTCAAAAGATGGAATATAGTATTGCTATCATTAGCCTGGAGCGTGAATATTGACCAGGACGCTGGATGCTGCTGCTTGAGGCTACATCCTGTTTTTTCTTCCTTATCACATTCTACTTCCTTTAACAAGTTACCGTACTTCCTCACACACACAAGCCACATGTGAAGCACCTGTGGATTTAGAATTTATAATCTATCTCCTGTTTGTACTGCATCTATTGAGACTGCAATAAATAAGTCCCACACATACTGTAATTGTACTGATTGCCTCTATGTCCCCCACCCACCCCTCAAATAGATTAATCTAGCTTCATGTTGTGTTTTTTTTTATTTGTCAATTCTTCTCTGTCTCTAATTACACTATCTCAACATTAAGTATGAGGATTTAGGGTATTGCTATCAGAAATCTCGTTTAGTTAAACCATGTCAAATTTTAGTTATTAAAGTGGAGGCATTGTAAATTTTTTCACACCTTTCCATAAGACTAATTTGACTATCTTTCAGTTAGACCATACAGAAACGAAATGGAGCATTATATACACATCCAAGAGGACCATAAGTTACTGGTACTTCTGCTGAAAACATCAATGTTATTAATACTATATAATGATTGCCATGTACATAAACACTGATTTTTCATCATTCTCATTCATGGGTAAACGTGTAACTTACCTAAACGTCAAAACCTACCTGAAATGCCTGAAACGATGGCTGCAGATTTACACATCTTCATGATCACTGGATGCACTTCATAGAGAAATGGAGTGTTCATTTCACTGTCACTTCCTCTACCCCTGGATGAATATAACCAAGCAGCATTTGAATTGAATAGTCCATAAAACATCAAAACAATAGGGAGAGATGGTGTTATCCCTCTACAGAATTCTTCCAATTCCTCTATTTCAATATCAGGAAGAGACCATTCACTGTCTTCAGATTTTCCTTTCAGAGTCTGTGCTTGGCTTACAGCACATATCAGCTTTAAGAAATTCAATTCCACATCCCTCGTACAAAGCAGAGCTGAGGTAATGCACAATGAAGTCGATACAATCAAGCTGCAGTCAGATGGTAACTTATTGCTTACAACCGCTCTTAGAAGTGACACACAAACGGCTTTCAGCTGGTGTTGTAATGCAAGGTCCTGGACTATTTCAGTTTCCAGAGGGAGAACATACTGAACAATGCCATATACTGCCTGGGGAAAGATAGTGGGGGAAAATCAATGAAAAAATATGCATAATCAAGAAAATAACAACAGTAAAATAAAAAGCTTCACATACAAATAACTTTTATTCTTTATATATAAATATATAACACAAGCAATATACAATTCTGCAAGGAGAAGCTGACATAAACTTACATTTCCAGTTAGTTATTTGAAATGTCTGGAATATAGGATCTTTATTCCCATTCACAGAACAGAACTCTTAATATAAGTACCTTTACAGCAATGTGAAATTCTGACTGTTTTCTTGAGTCTGCTACATGTAGGGAATCAATCTTGATACAGCAAACTTTAAGGACTTCTTCTACACATGGAGACAAACCTCTCTTGAGAATGTGGTTTCCGTCTGTTAGCAAAGTTGCTAAATAACGAAAGAAAATCAGCAATTAGATGTCATCAATGAAAACCTACACAATAATAATCACTATTTGCTACACACACACTCACCACACACACACACACACACACACACACACACACACACACACACACACACACACACACACACACACACACACACACACACACACACACACACACACACACACACACACACACAAAATGATATAAATGTAATTAGATATGAACCATTATAAACTCTGAGACAAATATAACAAGGAGACATATTGAGAATAAAACACTTACCAGTAACAAGTGCTTTACCAGGATCATCATTTAACAACTTTCTAAAGTTGGAACTGATCTCCTCCACCAGCAGTTCCTGATCAGAGTCCTTTAGATTCTCCAGATCCTTGAAAAAGTATTACATTGTGATAAAAACAAATACTGTGTACATAACATATATATAAATAAATAAATATAAATATATATATATATATATATATATATATATATATATATATATATATATATATATATATCACCAATCTTGATCAAACAAACAAACAGTCTTTGGAAATATTATCAATACCAAGTAGCAAACAGATTAACATAATATTAAATGTTAAATATTACATAGCTCTATGGAAAAAAATGAGGAATTGCAAATTCTATAAAGCAATTATATGTATAACACCTATTTTTGGGTATAATTCATCAAACAACTTAACAGTATTTGGAAATATCAATACCAATTTTGGGTATACTTCATCCTAATTTTCTTAGATTGTAAAAATGTGTCATACACTCATTTACATATGCATTTATGTGAATACCTCAACCAAGTATGACTCAACCACACTAACCTTACTGATTCTTCTAACTATCTTCTGATTCACATCTTCACCAAAAAGTTTTGGTACTGCTTCTTGTAGAATGGTGTCCATTGCTGATATATCAATATTCTGCACTCATTTATTGCACTGTAATTCTGTTGGTAGTAA